TCAAATGCGCACTTATTTTTAAGAAAAAAAATACTTTTCATGATTTTGATATAAGTAATAGCAAGTTTATATAAAAAAATCTAATTCTATAATAAAGCCAGAAAATAGAAGAATAAATCAACTTAACAAAATGAGAAATAAAAGTTTATCTCCTACGTGAATAGATATAATATATAATTTAAGTATGATCACCAGTAGTATTCTAATAATTTCTCAGGTTCGATACAGAAAACATTTTTTTTAAATATCGTACTAACAAATTGGTGTTAATGTTACATTGACGTCATTATATGTAAATATAAAATTAGGTGTTGCTTACAGTTGAAGACTGTGTCAAAAACGAAAGGCAAGACAAACATAATTGGAATTTTAATGTATACTAATATGTAAGGAGCGTAAGAAGTTTTTGAGACTGATAATTTGTCACAATGTTTCATACGTAGTGCTGACAGGTGAGGGTATCACTTTGGTAATACGCAGATTATTTATTTGTGCCGGCAAGCAGTAATGTGCTGCGGTTATTAGCAACATACCTGTTATGGACAGGTATGTTGCTTACAACCGGGTACTGTTTTTTACAAGCAGTTGAGCTCCTTGTGAAAGAGTTCCTCCAGGGAAGTATGGCACCTTATCTATTTCTGCCGCCAAGCAGTAACGTGAGCATTACTGCGTTCCGATTTTGAAGGCTAAGGGTGCTTTTCAACTTATGTCTCAGGGTGATAGGTGCAGAGCCAGTGCACCTCAGATCTTTGCGATTTAAAGCTCTGAATGGCACTGCAACTGTTATGGACAAGCGTGTCGTTTACCAATTAGTATCATAAAATTTTTTTAAAAAACAGGTAAGGGTGCTGGTGAAATTACAGGCGCATAGGACTTGTCAACTTATGTGTCAGGATGACAGGCACAGTGGCAGTGCCGCTAGGTCCCCCCAAATCGTTGCAATTTAAAGACCTGAGTAGCTCTGGAACTGCTACGGACATGCGTGTCGCTTACCACAATCCACGCGACTAACTCGTCCCGTCACTTGGTATAATAAAAAACTCGTCGTTACCCTAAACGCGGCATTATATTCAATAGAAAAGAATGCCTCTACATCGTCAATATTAACTCGCATCTAAGTAATTTTTTCTATAACTTTTAATGAATATCCCATACGATGTATCTCAAATAAATAACGCGTTTATGGGGCTTCATATTTCATTCTCGAAGCGTAAAATGCGGCAGTTCTAATTAAACCGTGACATGAGCAGCCTATGACACAGTTATGGTGTAATTGTGTCAAATTTATTGAATTCCAACATTATTTATTGGGAGTTTCACTTTTTCAATCTATTTCAAATGGTGTTGTCAAACTTGTTTTAGCAAACTAATTTACCTACATTTATTGCTTCGTCTTCATTAAAGTTTTTTACTCTATGCTTACTTTTTATTAGCACTTTCTTTATGAAATATTAGAAATGACGATCTCTATCGGCTCTTCAGAGCGGATCTTGAGCTGTTATTAATAAAAACTGTGCCGATGTTCATCAAGAAAGACTTCACGTCGAAGCTAGTCAACTCGTTGTCAACACAGAAATGGTGAGAATATTAAAAAGAACGAAATCTTTTGGGTTATTTTAGTGTAATACACCCATAGGGTAATATCGGTACAACATACCAAAATATTTTTTTATGACACCAACTATACAAATCGCACGACCCATTGCCTGGTGGTAAGCGACACGCCTGTTTGTAGCAGTTGCAAAGCCACTCAGATTTTTAAACCGCAAAGATTTGCGGGGCACTGCCATTGCGCCTCTTCCCTGTGACATAAGTTCGCAAGTTCCATGTGCCTGTAATTTCACCAGCTCCCTTGCCCAGCAAAACCGGAACGCATATTAATTCTCACATTACTGCTTGGTGGCAGGAATAGATAGGCAGAACTTCCCTGGACGAATTCCTTCACAAGCTCTAGTGCTAGTGTAATTTCGGTACCCTTAACAGATGTGTCTATCTCATTGTGATAAAGTTGATCATGGATAATGTGATCATTATCTTTTTCCCTTAGACCGGAACGCCTGTCAATTTGTTATTGTTTTAATAATAAAAGACATGTATACGATATGATAGTTACGAAATGTTTAATGATAAAAAAATAAGGAAAACTGAAATTGTTTAATTAATCAAAAATTTAAATAATCTCAGTACAGAGTACCAAGAAACCGACTCCAAAAGTACGTGGAAATACATTGTTTTTTTGAAATATCTCCTAGTTCGCCACTATACAGGTCTTGACACAAGAGATAATAAAAATCGGTTCTCACAACTCAAAGTATATTGAGAGAGAAAAACCCCTTGAATTGGAGAATAGCAAAACCTCCTTAATTAAAATTTAAGCACTATTTATAAAAATGAATGTTCATACGTGATCAGCTACCCTTAGAGGTGGATGATTTTCTTCAAAATGAAATGGGACCACTATGGAGGTACCCTCTTTCCAAAAAAGGAAAAATCATGAAAATCGGTTCGCAAATAATATATAATACCGGAGTTATCGCGTAATACACATACAAAAAAAAAGAAAAAACATCGAATTGAGAACCTCCCCCTTTTTTTCAAGTCGGTTAAAAAAGAACTAATTTTGTGTAGTCTGGTGCTCGATGTCTCCTTGGCTGGCTTTATACAATATTTCTGGCGATCGCACAAATTTTTAAATTTAGTCACGTTAATCATGGACACAATCTTAATTACACTCTACTTAACGGTTCCGATTGTAGTTTGAAAAGGCACTTATAAATGTCATTACTCAAAAAAGTTCATTCATTCAAATTCAAACATACCTGTATATGATAATTAATTATAATATTGAAGATTAAGGGCATTGACATAATGGTATCTGTTCATCCAATTTATACTGTATCAGCACACTGAGCAAATTCAAGTCTGTGTGCGGGGAGAAAACTTTTTTCACAATAGCTACGATACAAACTTTTTCGTTTTGAAGAATAAAATATATATACTTCTTATAGTTTGGCGTCGATGTCATATAGAACAGAATTATCCGGCAACATACAAAAAAACTGTCACTGGTCCCTAAATAATAATAACGACTAAAATGGACGCTGGGTGAGGACATCTCGGGTTCGATTCAAAGAAGGGCCAAATTGAGAAACGAACTTTTCTAAATTGGTCCCTGAGTTAATTTCGCTGCTCTGGTACACATTTAGTACAGAGAATTCCTTAGTTTGAAGCCAGGTAAATGGGTGTGATTGTAAGCATATTATATTAATTACTTATTTAGTTTGTTAATAAAAAAGTCGATCTAATTTTAGCACATTTTGAAATAAACAGAAACAAAATTTTTTAGTATTCAATCTCTGTATTAATAATTATAACGATCTAGTGGAGTAATTTCACAAAAAAAATTAATATTATATTTAAAACATCGTGACATTCAATATAACTAAATATTACAATTCTTAAAGCGATATCTGTAGTTAGCCGCTGGTAACTGTGAAGGTACCCGACTCAGTGAAGAAATACTTTATAGATTTCCCACAGAGTGCGATAACAAAAAAAATCGTTAAAAACTAAAAACAAAGATCTGCAACAAGCACATAGAAAAACTCAAAATGTCTGCTGGTTAGTTCCGTAGCACAGTTGGGAGAGCACTGGGCACGGTATACTAAAGCCACTCGTTCGAATTATGCCAAAAAGTAGCAATTAAGAAATTAAATACACTTAAGTTTCGATGTTTGTATCTCATTTGAGGCATTATTAATGGCGTTGTTAATGACTGTCGATAAGGATTATCGGAAATTGTTTATTGACTTAAGATAACAGAAAATTTGTAGTCAGTGAAAGTTAAATTAAGTATTTAAACGCGTTTGAATAAATACAACGAGCTAGACTCAAAATTGAACCCTATGTTCGAAATTTAACCTATACAAGTTGTAAGTTTTAATTAGTGCAAATTAATATACTGCAAAAACAATGTAAAGTTCAATTTTCATAGACAAATTTTGACTGCTTGTATACTATGTCCACATTTATTCATTCTGAAATAAACGTTTTTTATTGTAATTATTTATTCAATATCACTAAATAGTTGTTTTTGACGTTCTTTTTTTTAATTATTATAATAATAACGCCCACACTCATAACCCTGTACCGCGGGTGCCATGAACACACACATAGACAAACTACACCCAAATTCACGAGAGAAATATTGGCATATTTCTCTCATGAGTTTGGGTGTAATATTTCTACATATATTTCTCCTCCTCTTTTTTTCGTCCTCTGTGTGCCAGTCCAGTATGGTAACCGTTCGGCAATGGAGGCAGTTAAATTACATTCAACATTCGCATTAACATAACGACGTAACATTCTTAAAAATAAATTCACACCACTGAAGTATTCAACAGTAGAGCTCCTTGTGAAAGATTTCGTCCAGCGATGTACTGCCACCTTACCTATTTCTGCCGCCAAGCAGTAATGTGAGCTTTGTTGTGTTCCGGATTTGAAGTGTGGGGGTGCTGAGAAAATTTCAGGCACAGGGAACTTCTCAACTTGTGTCTTAGGGTGACGGGCGCGGTGGCGGTGCCCCTCAGGTCTTTGCGATTTGCAGCTCTGAGTGGCACTACACTGCTGTGGACAGGCGTGTCGCTTGCCACCAGGTACACGACTTGTTCGTCCCGTCACTAAGCATTACAAAAAAAATTGCATATTCATTATGTACGTAAAACGAAACGCATCCTACAAAACGGCTTATGATAAGCCTGTTCAAAGTATTATGCCTGGCGCGTTGTTATCTGTAAGTTGAATAAAGTATCTAATTTGCCCCGCATGACGTGTCAAATTAAGTCCTTTCCAAAAAGCCGGAACATAGTCGTCTCAAACATTACAAAAAGTAATGAGTCACATCAGGCACTACCTGATAATGGTATGCTGTGTGCGTCCCGTCGTCGGTCACACTAACGATATCCCATACTAAATGATAACAATTCCCTTTTGTTAGTTCCCTACCACCACCCGAATAACAAATACGTTACTTAGTTTGATTACTTAGCAGTCGACTGTTGTGATTCTTGGAAATCGATTTGAACACATTCTAGAATTAATAGACACACCAATTTTTAAAAAAAGAAATTCGAATTGCGTTCGATTTTTCAAATACGAATTATTTCTTTTTTATTGGAGACGCTTTATTGTGTTAAATTTATTACTGTGAAAAGAATATGTCAAAATTAGTGATTAGTGTTGTTTTCTTGTTTTTGATATTTAATGTCGTGAATGCGAAGATAGTAAACAAAAGAAAATGTCCAGAAGTAAGAGCAGTTCCACATTTCGATTTGACGCAAGTGAGTTTGTTACGTATTCAAAATAGCGCTCAAAAATGTATAAGTGCCTAACACTTAGCAGTGGAAGTTCGTCCAGGGTTATACTGCCATCTTACCTATTTCTGCCGCAAAGCAGTAATGTCAGCATTAGTGTGTTCCGGTTTTAAAAGGTGAAATTACAGGCACATGGGACTTGTCAACTTATGTCTCAGGGTGACGGGCGCAGTAGTAGTGCGCCTCAGATCTTTGCAATTTAAAGCTCTGAGTGGCACTGTAACTGTTATGGACAGACGTGTAGCTTACTATCAGGCGCACGACTTGTTCGTCCCATCACTTACTTGATGTTAAAAAAAAGAAAAAAAAACACTTAATTAGTGATTACAATTGCAATAAGCCATATTTGAATAAAAGTCACCTTTGGTGTAATAAGGCCATATCTGCAAAAATGACAACTTTTGAGGTGAATGGTTTAAAGATGTGGTCTGTGGTTTAAAAGATTCTACGAGCGATATACATAACTTGTTTAAGAGTATTTTTATGTGATAAAAGCACTTTTGACTAGATCACGTGTGGCTTTATTACGCCAAGGGCATGAAATATGTTTAATCTGTAATATAAATATTTACGTACGTTATAGAATAAATATACTAAATCTACTTCATCGCACATATCGAAGTTCATGATAAATCTACTTTATATTCGAAACTAATTTATAATATCAGTAAATAGATTATCTACTTATTCTATAGTAGTGGTTTCACTCTCCCTAAAACAATCAATCGCCTTTTATCGATCATATAAATCAAGCTTAATATCTTCTAACTTTTATTACAATGTAATAACGTCCTATGCATATCGTAGTCAGAACCTATGATCAATTGTTGACCCGTTCGTTATAAATAACGATAGAATATTTATTTGAAAGTCATGAAGCTGTTTATAAAGATACTCTGCAATGATTACGAGACCCTCTTGTCGCAGAGTTTGTACGTAATAGGACACTTAGGTCACAGATTACTTAATAGTTAGGTTTTGTACGTACATCTCTTGAAAGAGAAAATTTAATTGGCTGCCCAAAAATTGCTTGCCACTAGCTAACTTTAATAATAAAAAACTTATATTGTCTGTGATCATTTTAAAAGTAACATTTTAGCGCGCATTTTAACAAAATATTCAGAACCATAGCCACCATAAAGACGTAACGATTTCGCACGGAAACATGTCCTAAAATTAAATAATTGAAGAAAAATTAAAATCTTAGGTATGGTATGGCTAATTAGATGTCTTGGGCTGTTTCGAAGGACAAACGTTTTTACTACTTTAAGAAAAGGCTGGAAAGTTTTAAGTTTGATTCATGAAAATAGTCCAAAACTGGTGAATCATATAGGAGTCGTATTTCGTAATAATAATGCCAAACAATACAAAGCCAATAGGTTGGGATGTGTTGCCTTATCCACCGTATTTACCCAACCATAACCCCTTAAGGTTTTTACTTGTATCAGCAATTTTTTGGTCAACCCTATAGTAGCACGACCGGTGACCACATTGACCTAAAGCGATATGGATGTAGGATAAACTTATTTACGATCAAGAGCACAGTAAGCTGGGCACTATGGACCGTTCTTGAATTGAATTCAAGTTACAAGCTTGACGTGCTCTTAACTGTATTAAGAACTTTGTGAAACTTCTAGAATAAGTAGAGTTCCACATGCTTCTACACAACCGATCACGATCTATAATTGTATACTTTTTTTTGTTTACGGGGGGAAATGCTTTATGCAAGAACTCGGGAGCTCCCCGTTCACTGCCCATAGTATAAACCGTTAGGTCACCAATGTAGTCAAATAATAATGGTGCATAAAAGGTAGATAGTGTTGCTACTAATAGGATGTATCATCCAGCAGCAGTACAAGACCCAGTAACTTATCAATAACCATACTAACATACTTAACTGCTGATGTTTATATTATATACGAGTTCGAAATCGGTCTACTGGAAGTCCTTAAAATGCGCGTGGGCGGCGGACATGAGTCTGATAACAGAACTCTCTGTAATAATTTTAATACGATTATTATAATTATGTGAATCAAAGTAGACTTTGACGAGTTATTCTCTGCTTATATTATGTACACTTAAGTGCTTCTGTGTTTTAAAACAAAACTCTAACTTCCATCTATTTGAAATATAGAATGTTGATTTGGTCAGTTCAGTCTGTCAACGAGGTCAATCTGCTCATCAATATGAACAACTTTTACTATGTTGTCCTCTCTCAAAGTGCAAGTAAAATATCAAGTGTTCTATTTATACATTTTGTTCTTCTACTTTATATTTTTGTTTTCAATTGGTAGCATATTTTTCTATAATAGCGACACTATTTTTATTTTAAATGCATTCAAACGCTTTTAAAAAGTTGCTTGCCTCATCTGGGAAAACTACCGACCAAATACGATAAAATAGACCTGTACAAGAATTTATTCATTTTATGTAACATAGTGTCTATCTTAAATTAAAGGAACCTCCGCTCCATTTCGCATACCCGAGAGTCACTCAGCATTATAATATGTTTGAAATATTCTCAACGATAAATGTGTACAAATATTTATTTACAAAAAGCAACCTCCTGTGTTTCTTGATCATTCTTCGCAGGGGTGTCTGCCTTACGAATGACCCGTTTTATTATATTAAACTCTATCAATATAACTACATAGGGCGCACCATAGATTTAGTATATGGGGCGCACTATAAGTTTCCGGAATTGGCCACTTACATACACAATATTTAAAAAGTAATTACAACATTCGAAAATTGAACTCTTTGACTGTAAAATATAGTTTGTTTCATGTGACTGTCACTTGTTTTTACATTGTGGCGTCATTTTAAAAATTGGTTGTATACATCACCATGGATTTAACGCGTGAAAATTTTCGTAGTATGATTTTGTACAACTTTAAGTGTAACTTAATAGCTCAGCGAAGCTTCGCTCGGCTTCAAACTGCTTTTGACGATGAAGCACCATGCAAGACGACTATTTATAGCTGGTTTGCAGAATTCAAACGCGGTCGTATGAATCTCAGTGATGAATTTCGTAATGGTCGCCCGCCCACTGCTGTGAACAACAAAAACATCGATTCTGTGCGCCGTATGATCGAACCAGACAGGCATGTGACATACCGCGAGATTCGGGCATCTTTAGGCATAGGCTTGAGTCAAATACAATGAATACTACACAAACATTTGGGTGTGAAAAAGCTGTGCTCTCGGTGGACACAGTTTGACTAAGGCTCAAAAAACGGATCGCGTCAATTGGTACAATGCTTACCAGATTCAACAAAGCGTATGGTCAACAAGCGTCTTTCCAGATGATCCGAAACCAATCAAAGTAGCGCGCGTGCAAAGTGCCTCTAAGCGGATGATTCCTTCTTTTTTTAATAAAACTAGATACGTGGTTAGTGGTGCTTTGGAGAATCGTTGTGCCGTGAACAGTAATTGGTACACGACCATTTGTTTGCCGGAAGTTATTGACAAACTCCGTAAAAATCCACCACGATAATGTCAGTTCTCACAAGGCCAGCCAGACAAACGAATTTTTGAAGGTGAACATCGTTGACCTTATGAGCCATCCCGCGTACTGTCCCGATATGGCAATTTGTGACTTTTAGAGCCTTAATCTAATCAATATTTAATTTGATAATACTTGTACCCACAAAGAATAGGATCTGATCGTCAGATAATACATAATATTTAGATACCAGGAACCTTTTACAAGGTAGTAAAGATTTTATAACTAATCTGAAATAATTGGCGAGCTAAATAAAATAAATAATTAATAAATATATTTTTATTACAAAACAGAAGAAATAGGTACAGAAATCCGGTAGGTCCGTCAAGTGTGTGGCCTAAAAATAATAATAACCAAGTCTATAACAATAAGTTTATTAAATATGATTGGTTAATTTTGATCCATTCATACATTTGTTAGATAATTCAGTATAGTTCTAGTTTTTATGGCGATGGTAGTTCTCAACTAAAATGTATTTAAAACAAAAAACTGGTAACCTTATAAACCTAGCTACAATCTGATTATATATATAGGAAAAAGTGAAAAGTTTCGTTACGTAACAAAGTTTTGTAACCTAAATTATCATGTTTTTACAGATGCTTGGAGATTGGTACGTGGTGGAATACTACGCCAGTGCTGAAGAAGCTCTGTCATACAGTTGTATGAGAGCAGTATTTACCCAAGACGACCATGTGCCTGCTACCGGTATGTTATTAAACATGTTTCATTGTGCTTTTGCTCTTACATTACTACTAGGCGCTTAATTTCACTATTTATAGAGAAAGTAATCATTTACACGGTATGTATGTATGATACTAATACATATTTACCTACTTGACAATTTCAAATTTTTTATATTAATATAAAGTGAATTATTTGTTTTTTAATCTCGTTTTTAAGTCTTTGCAAATATTTATATTAAACGTAGTTGAGATTGTAAAGTAGTCACCACGTTTATTGACGCGGAATTTTCAGCCGATCAGAAAAAGCTTTTTGTCCATGCAATAAGAGCGATAAGAGTGGAATCTTCCTAATAATAATGTTGACTAAAAATATGATACTTTACATCATAAAATAATACTTGTACCTGCAGTCTATAATTATTATGAGAAAGCTAATTACAATTCTACAGGCCAATTCTAAACATTTACCACTGGAACGTTCAAATATTTTTAATTTGGTATTTCTGGTGTAATAACATGTTTGTATTCATCTACTTGCGTTTCAATCAATAGTAGGTACTTTTATTTATAATCTGGTGCCATTATTTTGTAAATACTCTATTCTGTAGTAACACAGTAGCAAATGTTTTTTTATCGAGTTTTTAACAAAGTTAAAATAAAATAATTTCGTAAAACATGTAGCGTAAATTGGAATGTCTGAACATTTAAAAATAACGTACTTAAAATCAATAACTTTTGTAATAATAGTGAAAAATAGGGTGATTTGCATCACGGAAGAAAGAAAAGAATTGAAATAGCATCAAGCAACATTTGTATGAAAGCCGGTGTCACCACACGCACAAATTTGAAAACATAATCTTACATTAGTACTAAGATAACATCATTTTGATTAGTTAAAAATTATCAAACGAAAATAGATAATAATAAAAATATTTTGGTAAAAAAAAATTAAACTTATTTGGATCTAATAAGGTTTTATTATTACTAATCACATAAAAGCTAAAAACCTATGAACATAAACTTCTTGGAACAAAAGCAAAAAGTTGACAATCTACAGTCAGGGATACGACATGTAATTGATATCGACCTTATGTTTCATAACTAATGGAATATTGAACTAGGCATTGCTTTATACTTGCTATAATAAGGGTTAACCACGGAGTACATATATGGAAACGGCATTTAAAGCAATTTCTTCGAGAACTAGCGTAGCTAACTTTTACACGCACACATTTGTTAACAAATACGCATAAGGTTTTACTACACGCAAATATTAATTGATATTAGCTACCCAGGCGTGTGCGTATACGTAGCTACTTGCTACAATCACAGTATTAATGAGTTACTTATTATACTGTCATCGTCTTTCGTTAGCCTACTAGGTTTCAAGTCAATCCGATCACTGGAAGGGTTGAGATATTAAAACACAGTCATTATAAAAGTCTTTATTCTCCCTGAAATATGATATATTTGTTCAACAATTACCTCTTTTTGAACTGACTGAACATGACTACACTTATAGTGTCGACGAGCTTGTCAAGAAAATGAAGATACTTATTTCCGAAGGCGAAGAAGGGAATCACTTGCTTCATGAACAATGATTCGACGAAACGATTGATGATTTGACGAAAAATAACTGACAATGCTTCAGAAATATTTTCACATTTAGATGTGCTCTATAATTTGTGAAGGCGACTCTGAGTTTGAGGTCATATATTAACGAAATGATTTATTTCTTAATGAATTTTTCGGTTGTTATTCATATGTATACAATTTAATGTGATGTCATAAAATGCCTGTAGTAAATGGTGCTACATTTACTAGGTGCCCAGCTTTTACTGCCTGTTGCTTCAGCCCATTTCTCCTTTAAAAAGGATCCGGCGGGAAACTCAAAAAATCAATACAAAAACTGCAAATGTAAATCATGCCTGTGATAAAACTAAGAACTCAAGCGGACGAAAGTGACGTATACTAAGCGACTAGGGAGGTAGGAATCATGTAGATAAGGGAAAGAAAATCTCCAATCTCATAAAGTCTTCATTTGATACCCCACGAGCTTACGTGCATTGTAAAATTATCAACACTGTACCTCTTCTATCTATATTTCCTTTTTTCCATTAATATATCGTTTCTACTTAGATTGAATTTTTTTTTAAATGCGAGTGTTGGGACCAAACATTTAAGTAATCTAAGTAATCAAAATTGTTAGCTTTTAAATACCTATAAACAATTTATGTTTACACATGGATACCGCTTTAATAAAAAAAATGTCGAACTAAACCAAAACCGGGTTTCTAAATACAGAGTGTCTACATATCGATAATTTGATTACAACACGCGGACCTAGTACTAAGTGTAATATGACACTAGTGCAAGCAATTCATTGAGCGTCATTCGAATTGTTCTTTTGACGGCGGCGATGGCTAGCAACCAATGTATATTGTTATTACCGGGTTGCAAGAAAATAGTTTTGTTTCGAAATTATAGTATTGTATTGTTCAAAATATTAGAAAATACAGAGTTTTAGTACTTACCGATGAAATAAAATTACTCCCGGAGTATTTTTTAAACTTTGGCTTCTTACGCGACATGATATAATGGCACAATTTGGCATATTTGTATTTTTCCACAAAATAATCTGTTGTGTCTGGTCATAAGCTAGGTAACGCGGACCCCGCCCACTAACTAGTCTATTACTAGAATTTATGTGGTCTGTGGTTTGCATTAATATTAGACACAACCGTTGATGATTTTACCATGTCAGTCAGCCGTGACTATGGGACCTGTAAAGGGCCTGAAACGTTAGTTTATTTAAAAAACAAACTAACCTTTTCGCGATTTAGATTCGAAAAACAGTTCCATTTCCGAAATATTTTTTTAAGTTTCTTGTATTGTTTATATAGTGATCAAATAAACACAAAGAACAAAAAGTCGCTAGACATGGTCCAGCGATTTTTTGCCTAACTTGGGTTATCGCTCTCCCAACTGAGCTACGGAACGTATTTATTTGTTATTAATTAGCAGATCTTACTAATTTCTCTGTGTGCTTGTTGCAATCTTTGTTTTTAATTTTAAATGGTTTTTTGCGAATTTATTAGTAATTTCACTTTTCAGACGGTTCCGTAGAATGGACGCCAGGAGTAACAATGAACTTCACATACCGTTTTGCCGATGACCCGTTGGGTGAGAACCTCCTCGGTAACATAACTTGGAAAGTCGATTTGAATGAACCAGCTCATTGGACACATGCTGAAAGTACCTGTAAATATAACTTAATAATTACGTCACTTGAACAACCGATACGTACAGACGGCAACACATCAAGCTACACGTTGACAGATCTTGTTTCGTTGCACTAAAGACAATATTCGAAGAAAAGTGTATAGCTTGATGTGCAGTTGACTGTACATAACGAATCCTACGCTGAATACGGAGTTTTAGAAATAAGTACATATATATTGTAACCGCCACACTTGATAGATCACTCGCAATATTACTGCAATATCATATATAGGGTGCAATAAAAAACGTCCGACAATAGCAGATGTTATGAAAAGTACGTTTAAATTATCAAGACATTATAGCCTATGAATAATTTTAGGTGAAACTCATATCCCGGTCATTAATTCACTGCCTAATTTCTGTGGGGATTCTCATTGTTGAAATATTCGACGCTACAGTGAAATGTTATATAATTTTCGAATATTAATATTCAATTTACTTGAATACTTAAATTATAAAAATTGCTACAGAAATTAGGCAGAGAACACTAATCCGAGGATGACCAACCAATTTCTGGTTAATTTTCTTTCCATACAAAGCATGACGCAAATAATTGATACATACACATGTCGTGTACATGGGTTCCTTACGGAAACCTATGCAGTGCAATACGTAAAATCACTTCATGAAATTTCAGACGCAATTTTTTTAAACACCCGGTTATTAAAAAGGTACTTGTATTCATGATAACAAATTACTTGAATAAAAAATAATAACAAAATTTTGCTTCCTATACAAATTTCTATTTTGAAAGTGGAAGTTTTTTTAAAATACGTATTGAGTAACTTTTTTGTTAAAAGTATTATTACACAAGAGAAGTTGACAACTGAAATATGGCGTAACCACTTAGTATAACTCTGATTATTAGTTTTCTCCCCTAGCTGCCATCTATTCCTATGGCACCCTTATACGATAGTTGTATCTACGAACTATACGATAACGTTCATGATAAAATTTGTTTTTTATTTCAAGTTGTACGAGCAACTCTTAATTCCCTTAACTAAAATGTTGTCGGTTTTTTTAGGCGTGTATCTTTATTATTATTATTTTTTGTAAACAATCTAGTTCTTAGAAATACGTATATTTGTACATGGAAAAATACCAAATTTACATGTAAAATAGTTTACAAATTCAAATGCATTATTTTAACAGCTGCACGTTTTTTGTTGTGTAAGCTACGTCAAGTTACGTTACCTTAAGTTTCATGGTAAAATCGACGGTTTTAATATTTATTCCAACTTCTATTATATACTCAATTTTTAAGAGATATAAAAATTACTGACTCAAGTACGTTCAAGCTAAAAGGAGAATTATGGTTGTCAGGTGAATAAGAATACGTAGTCGAAACACTTAAACCGATAAATCACTCTTCAAGCTTTGCAGTCGGTATTCTTATATTCTTACATATCCTGTTATATCGGCATTCAAACATCACATACATACATGGAGTTTTACATATACCTCATATGTATACAGGGTGCAATCGTTAAGTGTGCCCAGGTGATTATACCGTAAATATTAGAGATATCAAAAATCTTTAAACTGATATCGAGAGTACGTTACTTAATGAGTAAAATGACATCAATAACTTTTCTTTTCACTTTTCTCAATAACGCTCCCAAACATTTAGATATCATAATATAGACATTTACATTTTATTATATTCGTACAGAGGCTTCAGCTTCGAACAACTGCTTTGAATATTAAATGCTATACTTACTTATAAATAAACATTTTTTTTTAGTCAATAAAAAAGTAGTTTCATTATCTGTAAACTTATAGCCTACCTCTTAAATTAGATATCTATCCTATATAATATCAAGTAAACCCTCTCTACTAATGTCATATTACATGTAAGAGAGCGTATAAAGCAAATTATTTCGCTGTTTCGTACGTTAGTTTTTTACAATAATTAATTTTTTATTGTTACAAAAACATTAACCAATATGGCATGAGCAACCTGTACAATCAGACAAAAGACATCAACGGCATCACATTACCATGCTCAAAAGATGAAATATACGCTAAGCTCATAAGTTAGTTTTATTTTCAGACGATGGAATCTACAACACGTATGTCCTGGATACAGAATATAAGACGTGGGCACTTTTACTTCATTGTGCAGAACAACGTGAGGGCGCGAGGTATTTGAGCGCCTTCATACTATCTCGGAAAACTACCCTACCTAAGAACGTTATGGCTTATCTAAGAGACAAATTACCGAGGTAAGTAGTTTTATGATCGAGAAAAGCGATTGACTCACTCAAAAAGGATTTTGTCAAGAATTTGTCATTGTCGTGATAAGCACGAGTCTATATTCCTCCAATAGACCTATCTCAAAGTATAATAGTACGTGAGGCGCACTATAAGTTTTCAGAATGAATACGAAAAAAATACTACTTATATATGGTCAGAAATGAATTTATTGTTTGTCAAAATATTCTCCGTTAGCGTTAATGCACTTTTTCATACGAATGAACCAATTTTGAAAACATTTATGCCACTCCTCCGTGACAATCTCTGAAACATATTTTTCATACTCTTCGATAGCCTCTTCAGGTGATGTAATCGTTGTGTCGTTGACCGCGTTACTAGTTCTTAATTTTTGGAAATAAATAAAAGTCACAAGGTGCCAGGTGGGGACTGTACGCGAGATGACTCATGAGGTCAACGTTGTTCACCTTCAAAAATTCATTGGTCTGTCTGGCCGTGTGAGAACTGGCATTATCGTGGTGTATACATAACACCAAGCAGAAAGTAACCACTCGGAACAACCTTCTGCGCCGCCTTATATCTAGTAAGTGGGGAGATTCACCACAAACTTTGCGAACGGCCGGACTAGCCCTTTCCTTTTCGGCAGGCGAATACGCCAGCCCAGTCTGAAGTCGTTCAGCACACACGCACCTGGTGAATATAGCAGTGAATGACACTTGTCGAATTATTACTGGCTGTCTGAAACCAACCCTTGTCGGTATGCTGTACCCGCTGGCAGGTGTTGCCCCTCCGGACATCTGTAGAGACGTGGCTAACTCCCTGGAACGCTTAAAAAAGGAGACTGACCCGCGGCACCCATTACACCATCACGTGCCGGTAATCCAGAGGCTAAAGAGTTGCCATAGCTTCATTAAAGAAGTATACCCTCTGGACGGCGAAACTAAGCATGCCCAAATAAGTCTCTGGAAGGAGCGATACGTCGGAACACCTTCCTCCTGGGCATGATCTACCTTGGTAAACTTGGTCCCTAAATAGACTGCGGATCCAGCTCGGAGAGCACATATCCGTGTGGTGTCTCAGTCGCTAAGTACTGGTCCTCACAAATATAAAAGTCAGAGTCGACATGCCTTGAAGAAGATCTTGGTGCAAGATGATACGGCGTGTACGGTTATTTTTACGGAGTTTGTCAATAGCTTCTGGCAAACAAATGGTCGTGTACCAATCACTATTCACGGTAGAACGATTCTCCAAAGCAACAGTAGCCACGTGTCCAGTTTTATTAAAAAAAGAAGCAATCATCCGCTTAGAGTACTTTGCACGCGCGCCGCTTTGGTTGGTTTCGGCTCATCTCGAAAGACTATATATACGCTCGATTGCTGCTTTGTTTTGGGATCGTAGCTATAAATCCATGTTTCGTCACCTGTTACTACATCCCACATCAAATTTGACGCCCCTTCGTTGAATCTGGTAAGCATGGTGTTGAACCAAGTGACGCGATCCGTGTTTTGAGCCTTAGTCAAATTGTGTTTGAGCCACCGAGAGTACAGCTTTTTCACACCCAAATATTTGTGTAGTATTCATTAACTTTTGTAAGTCAAAGGTAATATTGATTATAATATAAATAAATGTTAGTATTGATTGTATTTGAGTAATGCCTATGCGTAAAGATGCCCGAATCTCACGGTATGTCACATACTTGTCTGTTTTGATCTTACGGCGCACAGCATCGATGTTTTTGTTGTTCACAGCAGTGGACGGGTGACCATCACGAAATTCGTCACTGAGATTTACACTACCGCGTTTGAATTCTGCAAACTAGCTATAAATAGTCATCTTGCATGGTACTTCATCGCCAAAAGCGGTTTGAAGCCGACTGAAGCTCCGCTGAGCTGTTAAATTACACTTAAATTCGTAGAAAATCATACTACGAAAATTTTCACGCGTTAAATACATGGTGATGTAGACAACCAATTTCTAAAATGACGCCACAATGTAAAAACAAGTGACAATCAGATGAAACAACTGTATTCTATAGCCAAGGAGTTCAATTTTCAAATGTTGTAATTACTTTTTAAATATTGTTTATGTAAGTGGCCAGTTCCGGAAACTTATAGTGCGCCCTATGTACTAAGCCCAATATTGGGAGAATGCCTGAAATATGCTTTTCCTAAGACAAGGCACTGAACTTGATCTTTGTTACACACACTTACGTCTTACATAGTGAGTATTCTTAGCTACTAGTTCTAACTTCGGTCTTAAAACTTTTAATAGATGACTGCGTACCTGCGGAGTCGGTTCTCTTTAAGCTTTATCTGCCATCGGAGCCACTTTAAATGATTCTCTGACGTTCTGATTGCGAACTTTGTCTAATGGCCTTACAGCACCCACACAGGGCAACAGAAGTAAAATATGAAGTCATAATATATCCCAACCGTTAATAACAGTTAAGTGAGCAAAGATTTAAACACCTGTCGTAAGTCATACACATTATATTGTATGGTTTAATAACAAGCATCAAAAAAGTTGCACCCAACGAATGACGCGAAGCCTGGCCATAGCTAACTCAACCACCCAATCCTACAAGGACTGCTTACCCACTGTCCAATGCCGTGAAACGATACTAAATTCTAGTTTTAGGCTAAAAACAAAGAGTATCTCTAAAGACCCTGTGTAATGCTATTTACTACATTACAAAACCCAACGACCGATACGCAGTATTGTTTAGCTTCTAGCATAAAAAACAAAACCAAGTACACGTAGGTTAGCACGAAATATCGATTTGTATAATCACTCATTCATTATAAAATACGTAAATTAAATTAAAAACGGTATTGAACTATATTTCTATACCTATGAATATAATAATAATAGATCTAACAGGTAATTTAGTACGTTGTTATAAAACGATAATATTACATAGCAACCTCATTAACTACGATTGCAAGAAGGCAATGTTAACTGCATAGACCATAAGTACATTACATAGATAAGCCAATATTGCTTCACGCTTCCAATGTTTTTGTTTTCGAATAACAGATATATAGATATTTTGCAGTTTGCCGCTGATGGCCTTGACTGCGCCACCGGAAGAAAAGGGCGAACCTCATATAACCCGCTCATAACCCGTAAAATAAACCACAAACTAAACTTAAAACTAAGTAGCGGAGCCTGAGGTCGCCCAAGTGGGTACGGACCTCGGCTCAGGGCGCTACTGTAGACTTCCGCCAGAAGAGCGTGCGGTTGGAGAGAATCTACCACTATGAGGGGCGAATTCCGAATTCCGATATTATTAGATCAAATCACGATAGTTGTGTTTTTGTCTCTGTTCTGAATTAGTTTAAACATTACTTATATTCATGAATAGCCTAAAAACTACCACTCTGTAAGCTCTCCAGAAATAAGGATTTTATACACTCATCCCTTAAAGCTATTTATGATACATAGGTACAAATCGAAAACGTCGTTTATTATGACACACACAAATCGAAAACAACACCCTGGCCTAAATAATCTCGTTTTATTCTGTTTGCGATTAAGCAAACCTCACACCGAGGAGTGGTATTCTATACCTCTCCTCTCCACCTTACCCAATACATTTAGCAAGATATAGTGTATCGTCTTCTTCGAGTGCCTCTTGAAGGCTGGCCGTCAGCTTCTTGTATTCGTTTTTATCAGCAGCCAACCGAAACAGCTGTTCGACGGAGGTAACGCCAGTCCACTCCCGGGTGTTCTGCAGTCACGATTTCATCCTTCGCCTAGCGCATCTTTTTTCCTGCACTTTGCCCATCATTATCAACTGTACCAGCGCGTATCAATCGTTCCTGTGTGTAGGGATGAGGCTTATTTACTTACATGGCATACACACGACAAGATATTGGGTAGCGTATCAAGATACATTTAATTAGTTCATGCCAGATCAATATCAGCAATGGCAAGCAGCCAATGCATCTAACCTTTCGCGTCTAGCCAATTTTATTAAGTTCCTTCGAAAATGGAAAACTGAAATCGCGAAATGGCATCATTTACGTCTTCAAAAATATTGTACCTTTACCAAAAATCACACCCATAGTCTAATAAGACCATATGTGCGAAATCAAAATTCAGGAGAGGTGTTTAAAGATAAGATACTACTTAAATAACGGAATGAAAAAGGGTATTATAAATTAAAATAAAATAATATAAAAAAAATATTATGATTTTGGAAAAAAGCCGTGGTAGGCTAATGTTGTATGTCGCCTACTGTGTACGATATTTCAATTATTTAGGCTCTTAGAAAAACCTACCTAACTCATCATTGCATGTATACGAAAATAAACACAGAAAATGAGCCCGGAAGTAAGCACATGCGTTACATGAAGATGTGAATGTCCGATACCTGGTAAGATAAATTTAAAACTATTCTGCATTGTTTCTGGCGTTGATGTTTTCCATTAAAATTTATTTCCCCATTACTCATACTACTATGACGTCAATAAATAAAAAATGATAGCATCAATAACAACACATTAAGTTGCTTTTATAACACTGCCATATCACGAACAATTTTTTCACGTAGAATGACTTTTGTAACACTATCATAACACGTACAATCGTAAGTTATTACAAAACGATCCTGCTGATTTTGTGGTTAGAGACTGAGTCAAAAAACGATAGGTAAGATAAACATTCGATTTTAAATTTGAATAGCGGCAACAGGTAGATACCATAATGGCGCATTTACACCAAATCGTCAGGCGACTTGCGCTTGCGAACCGAAGGTGGCAAGCTATCCAATGTAAACAGTGAGTCGTCTGATGACAGCAGCTTGCAGTCGAAATCGACCGAAGTGACGGTAAAGCAAAGTTGTAAGACGACCCGGTGTAAATGCGCCATAAGCGCGAGTAGAAACTGATAAGTGATTTTAACATCTTTTTAAAGTACAAGGAATTCCCTGGTGTGACTAGGGGTTAAGAACCTTCAGCTCGCCCTATACAGTGGCGCAATCAAGGTCATCAGCTGCGAACTGCAAAATGTCCTTCACAAAAAAGTAGAAAGAACAAAAATACCTGGCAATAATCATTTGGTTCGTTTATTTAATAATATATTGGTTATCAGGTATGACGTGGACGTCCAATACGTGTTCCCGATCTCTCACGATGTCTGCTCATCCAAGCCTGCCAGACCTGATTACGGCCCCATCCTCGTTCAAGTGGGCAACAAGCCGAAGACTGATGACGTCAGCTACAATTTTACTTTTGGTCAATAGACACTACAATCAAAAATACTCTTTTTGCAAAGTTAAATCGACCGTACGCTTCAATTATTTGGTCACTTGATTCGTGTGGTAAAATCTTCCTAAAGAGACTATGAACAGAACCGTGAACTGTAAAGTGCATTTGGAATAATGCAGATTTTACGAAAAAATATTGCAAAACAAATTATTATTATGTCAAAAAAAAACAAATCATAAATCACAGGAGTGCCACATGGTTCATATTTTTATTTTTGTATTAATTTTCTTAATGTAAAAAAATATTCCGATATTTTTTTCATGGGAACAAGAAGACGCAGTTTTATACATTGAGTCGAACTTAAATCCTAATTGTCAAACACAACGTGCACGCCTTTACATTGTTACCTGTGTAGTAAAAACCTACTAAGTAAAATAAATAAAATTACGTATTAAAATGTGTTTTTACTTCAAAATTTTAATCAAGTTAAACGTATTCAAATACAAACTCCTTCAACCAGACCTACATTTAAATTATACGTGTAACATTCTAATATTAACAAGTAATTTCAAAATATATTCTTTTAAAGTACCTACTATCCTTGTAATAAAAAGCTTTGTTTATTACGTTGTTATCTTTGTTACTGTTAAAATATTACGAGACATTTTTCATGCTTTGACAAAACTAAGGCTAATGTTAAGGACAACAGATAGGGCACACTTCTACTTACATGATTAAGTGACTATCTTAAGCTGAACCCTGACATATCTGCCGATTTACGGAGTTAAATCTTGCCAGGTGAAATGGTAAAAGAGCGAAGCGATACTAATGTTGGGAAAATGGAAAACCAAAGTAAAAGTATCCGGCCCATTATACTTCGATTGGAAAGTCAGACACATTGCGTAAGACCCTTTATCTACGATAACAAGGAGAAGAACAGGGTTTGTACAAACAGTAGTATTTGTACGTTTGGGCTAAGAAGCATCTAGATGTAAAAATACCACAATACTATTATTTACTTAATGAAATACAGCTCATCTCTATTGCGCCGTCGTGAATATTGGATCTTAAGGTGTCTACAGATTTGCTTTATTTTTTGACGATCGACACGTGTGATTAAATAAAATCGAGTAAATGTGTATGCAACATACGATTGATAATGTATTTTTCGACGATCGAACTATTCACAGAATAACATAATTCAAATTAGGCGTACATGCAAATACAAAACAAACAAAAATACTGAAATAAGACAAAACTTTTAACTCATAATTCATTTTAATAATAATGCAAATTCAGTGACACTTAATTGTTCATAACGTGAATGCACGAAGTCAAAAGACACCATCTCAACATAACTTAAGCGCGGACATTGATTTATTGACAATTAAGATTTGTCATAGGTATTTAGTATTCCACAGGGTCCCTGTCTGCGTTCCCAACAATAGAGTAGGTAATATGGGCCGATTGTTATGACATTCAAACTTGACCGTGTCTAAATAAACCGACAACACCAAGTAAAATTAAAACAGTTATTCATGTAGAACAATCGTTGTACGATATGGAATTTTCACAATGTTCTGAAGGCAATATGTTTCATAGATTAAATTAAAGAGACAACCTCTAGAGGTGTTAAATGTTGAATTCAGTTCAATATTTTAAAATGTACCTACATAAAGTATCTCATTTCATTTCTAGATGACACTTTTGAAAATTAAGTCTAAATTGTCTAGGCACCTTGTGTTTGTGGATAGTTTCAGTTCCCAGATACAACCTAAGTAGGTACTGTGGTAAAATTCTTAATCTTCAGTTAAGTGCTGTACTAAAGACTTAATTGGTTTTATTATTAGCGTTATCTTCTTTCTAATACTAATTTCATATTCTAATAAGGGCAATTTATTTAAGTTAATTTAACAATTAATGTAAGTAATTATTAAAACATAAACGAGATTATAAATTAGATAGTTCCTTAAATGAATTATTAAAAAATCTGTAATACATAATAAATGAGAACCTAAAGAAAATTATAGAGTAACTATATTTACACATTCGGCATCTAAAATTTGGAATGATCTACCTACGCCTGTACGGACGGCTGTATATAAAGCACTACCAACTTTCAAACGAAAATGTTTTCTGTGGCTGTTTGAGAGGCAATCTCGGGACATAGGCTTTGCGCAATAGCTGTTTGTATATATTTGGTATTGTGCAATTTAAATTTACTATTATTGTTCTTAACTTGATTCAAGTTGATTATTATTTTCATGTGTAAATGTTGTATGTGTCAAATTTAATTATTATTTTCATGACTAAATATTGTATGTGTCAAATTCAATTTAACTTATTTACTGTTTAATTGTGTTTAGTATTTGAATATTTTTTTTTAATTGTCGTGTTTTATGTGTATGACTGGCCATGGCAGAATATCAGCGATGGTTATGTAATTAGCATAGTCCTCAAATGCTGAGTCATGGAGTTTATGACATGCTTTTTTTTTGTTTATTTGTTTTAATTTTTCTTTTTTTCTATTATTATTATTATTAATATTATTATTACATGTTCCTATTTTTTCTATTGGTTTTATTATATGAATGAATGATATGAATGATTTGATATTTTATAATTCTTTGTATTTTATGATACATTTGGCAAGTCATATACATACGACCTCTCTCGTCTCGTCTCGTCTCGTCTCGTCTCGTCCCGTCCCGTCCCGTCCAGTCCAGTCCCGTCCCGTCCCGTCCCGTCCCGTCCCGTCCCGTCCCGTCCCGTCCCG